AAAAAAAAAAAAAATCTTTCCTGGCGACTCTACCCAAAAGTGCAACCCCCTCCCTGTGGCGCTTTTTCTGTGCCTGCCTAGCATGTATTACCTACTGTCTTTACTGTGTCCCCCACTGGAATAGGAGCTCAGCTAGGACAGGGCCTGGCGCATACAGAGTTGCTGAGTGGACATGGGGCAGCCTGTCTCCACTGCAGAGTCTTATCCAAGGACATAAGCCACAAACCGGCCATGATCCTGAAGAGCTGGGATCCAAACTGCTGGCAGGTGTGGCCCAAGACCACGTTCTTCCTCTGACCCCACAGCCTGCCCCTGTGGATGACGACACCCTAACTAAAGGGCATGGGAGCCCAGCAGGCGCCCGCCGCAGCGAGCACAGGCCTGAGTGCTGGGCTTCCTGCCCCGAGGAGAGAGGGGCGGACGCGAGGCCATGAGGCCAAGCCTACAGAGCCTGTGGTGTGAACGCAGACAGAGGGTTGCCTGGGACTCCTGTGGCCGCCTGAGGCTGCACGTGGCATACCCCTGTGTACCCCGTTACGGGCTGAGCTGTGTCCTCCAGAATCCCTATGTTGAAGTCCTAAGACTCAGCCCCTCAGAATGTGCCTGGGTCTTCAAAGAGGTGGTTAGGCTAACCCGAGGCTGTCAGGGTGGCCCCTAAGCCAATCTGACTGGGATCCTTATAAGAGGAAATCTGAACACAGACGCTCTCAGAGGGAGGAGAGCCGTCTACAAGCCACCGAGAGAGGGCTCAAGAGAAACCAGCCCTGTCGAGACGTGGCTTCAGGCTTCAGCCTCGGGGACCGTGAGAACTTCCGGTCAAGCTCCGGAGGGCGTGGGGCTTTGCTACGGCAGCCCGAGCACGCACGCACACCCCTTTCCGTCTCCCGGTGCCGGGGGTGGCCCCTCGAGGGCAGGGCCCTCTTGGGGAGGCAATGAGCTACCCATGGCTCCTTCACCCTGGGGGCAAGCCCGGCTGTTTGATTTGGCTTTGGAGGCCCTTCCTGACCTGGCTGAGTCTGGGGCCACTCTCCCCACACACACTCCTCTCTGGCCACTGGAAGGTTGCTTCAGTTCCAGCAACACACTGACTCTTCCCCTGGCCTTCTTCCATACTGTTCTGGCTGCCTGGGACAGAGCACTGTGGCCCAGGGCCATTGCCTCCAGTCACAGCCCCGGCATGAGTCCCCACCAGGTGGCCCTCTGTCCCAGAGCTCCAGAAACCTCCTGCGGACACGGCCCCACCCACCCTGTGAGTCACCGGCCATCCGGGCAGTACCACCATTTACCCCCAGGGTGAGCAGAAGAGCTAGTGCGGCTGAGCACTTGGTGCAGTGCGGGCTATGGGGACTCAGTTGGCATTAGTACTTACTTGCCTGGTCCCTCCGCAAGACTCAAGGATCCCAGAAGTCAGGGGCCACATTCATGCACCGTCAACAAACCCAGGACTGGATGCACACCCACCTGCCACAGAGAAGCCAATGGTGACATCCCCTTGGTGCTGGCCCTGATCTCACATCAGGGACACCTGCAGGTGGCAATCAGCTTTGTCACCTGTGGCCAGAAAGAAGGGCTGACCATGAAATAGGCTAACACCAAAACCGTTTGGTGACAACATTTCCTAAACTCACCAGTCAGCGGCATTTGCAGAGACCGGTGCAGGCGGAAGGAGAACTGCAGACTCTCTTCCCAGAAAGCCAAGTGCCCAGGACAGGGGGTTCGTTATGGCCGGGTGGTGACTGGTAAGACTTCCAGCATCTCTGCCTCATGCTGAGAAAGACAGCCCCGGCCCAGAGAGTGGGCCAGCCTCCTACACTGATGCCAACACCTGCCCCGCTCCCCACCTTTCCCAAGAAATCAGACCCTTTCCTCTATCTGGTTTCTCCAGCATAGAGGCCAGCTCTCAGCTGGTGGGATGCAGAGGCCGTCTAGGGCACGTGGCCACCTGCTCTCCCAGGGAGCCTGCGCACGCTGCCCTCTGCTGGCCACCCTCCTCCAGCCAGCTGCTAGGGGACCGCCCTCTTCAGTGACCGCTTTCTTCAGGGCGAGGTTCCTGCAGGTTCCAGGTTGAGGGGGTGCTGGGCTTCCTGCCCCGAGGAGAGAGGGGCCGACGCGAGGGCATGAGGCCAAGCCTGCAGAGCCTGTGGTGTGAACACAGACAGACGGAGGGCTGCCTGGGACTCCTGTGGCCACCTAAGGCTGCACGTGGCACACCCCTGTGTACCCAGTTATGGGCTGAGTTGTCCTCCAGAATCCCTATGTTGAAGGGTACCCCCCCGCCCCCGCCTCCCAGCAGCCTCCTTCCTCAAGGCCCAGGGCTGTAGGAGGGCCAATGCCGGCCTGTGCCAAGGAGATGGGCAGAGCCAGTCAGGTGCCTGGGCCATTCAAGCGTAGGTCTCACACGTGTCCACACATTCTCACTCAGACTCTGGATGTGCACAACACCTACAGGTGGCCCACAGAAGCAGGGGTGGTACCTCAGAATCACCAACGGCAACATTTTGTGGCATACCTGAGATTTCAATGACACGCCCTGGCTTTGACCAGGTTTGAGGAAGGGGCCATTTCAAAGTTCCCTGTCCGTTTGGTATACAACTTAGCAAACGCCCTTGTAGAAGGTCTCCTGGGAAACAGTTCTTGAAATATTTAGATACTTCCTCATGCAAGGAAGTGGAAACAGCCTCTAGTTCACTCATCCTGACCTTGTCCTTTTTCCCTCCTTCCTTCTTGTTTGGACACACAGAGCCGACCATGACCCTCACTCACAATTTTTGGCCTAATGACAACAGAGGAGTTTTTTCCTACTCTTCCCTGTTCCTTTTTTTGGCTCATTCTTGACTACTTAGAACTCCTTCACGGGGCACCTGGGTGGCTCAGTTGTAAGCGTCTGCCTTCGGCTCAGGTCGTGATCCCAGGGTCCTGGGATAGAGCCCCACATCGGGCTCCCTGCTAGGCGGGAAGCCTGCTTCTCCCTCTCCCACTCCCCCTGCTTGTGTTCCCTTTCTCGCTGTCTCTGTCAAATAAATAAATAAATTCTTTAAAAAAAAAAAGAATTCCTTCACTGCTGTCTACCTCAAATGGCTTTTGGAAAGAGGCATGTTTTAGATTAAACACTTTATGGAAGGAAACAGCAGTGCCCACATCAAAATCTGTCTTTGATTTCTAACTATGGAACTCCTCCCTAACCTAGCCCTGACTTACGGTCAGCCTGCAATAGGGTATTTCATCTCATCTTTCACCCTTCTCTAGAATGCTCTTCAAGCCCCACCTCCGCATAAGGCCCTCTCACTCAGAAGCACCACAGCCAGCTCAGCACAGGAGAAAGCAGTGTCTCATCTCCCTTCATCCCACACATCTTAGGTGACCACTGGATTGATTCCAAGAAGCTTTTTAGGGTCTCATTCTTGAATATCAGACCTGCCAAAGTCACCCAACATTTGAGGAAAGCCTTTAAAATTATTTTTTAAAAGGTAAAAACCTAAAGCGGGAATCTAAAAGGGAATTAGATACAAGGAACAGAAGAAAATGTAAAAAAAAAATTAAATTTCCCTTAGAGATTAAATCTACGAAAAGAGAACAAAATGCAATAATCAAAGAAGGGAAATTAAAAATAACGGCTGACACGTTTCAAAAACCAGTAGATTTACTGAAGAAACAGGTATCCAGAATGAAACCAATCCATCAAGTGCCCAGCCCAACGAATGACAAACCACCTGAAATAGAGACAATCCTAAAAGCTTCCAGAGAAGGTTACATACAAAGGGACCTGGACTTCTCATCACATTGGAAGGTAGAAGCCAATGAAGCAACACTTTCCAAATTCAGCAGGAAAATGATATCCAATCTACAATTCTATACCCAGCCAAACTATCGATTCTGTGTAGTTTAAAAACATTTTCAACATTCAAAGTTTCAAAAAACCTACCTCCCATATGTTCTTTCTCAGGATGGTACCAGAGAAAACATACTACCCAAACAAGCATGTATAATCTAAGAAAAGAACACACAGGATCCAGAAAGCTGGGCTTCCAAAGCAGGACAGAAAACTTTTCCCACCCCATCTGTGCAGGAAAGCAGCAGGTTCCACATAGGTGTCCCTGGGGGTGGAGGGCAAATAACAGAAAAGATAGCGTCTGATTCTGCGGGAAACTGTACTGGGAAGGATCTCACAGAGTTACAGAGTGGAGGAAGACAGAGACACAAATCAATCTGAGTAACTGAAAACATAATCAACCTCCACGAGAACAAGAAATGGTACAAAAGATGTGCTACACCACTTGGCTCAGCAGTAAACAAAGACACACGGTGATCATGGCAAGTATGATCAGTAAATTGCATACTTCACCAGTTCTTATAAATGAAGTTCAATGGAACATAGCCATGCCCACCTGTTACATTGTCATGCTGCTTTAGCACCATGACAGCAGGGTTGTGAAGTCCCTGCAGAGACTCTATGACCCACAAAGCCTAGAATAGTTACTATCTGGCTACTTTACAGAAGTTTCCCAACCACTAGATTGAACTAAACTACTTGGGGAATTTAAGGGAAGGGGAAGAGGGTATAAATGCACTAAAATGAACTAAAATCTTCATCTATAGGTCCAGATTCTTAAAAGGATGAATTAAGATAGCAGGATAATACTACTATTTAGAAATGTGGAGATACATAAGAAATGCTACAAATTAAAAGTGGGTGTCTGCATACATTGTGATGGGGCTAAGGGAACAAAAAACTCTTTTTAAGACTTTTTGTTTTTTTAGTAATCCCTACACCCAAAGGGAGGCTCGAACTTATGACACCAAGATCACATGTCACATGGGCTTCCAACTTAGCCAGTCCAGGTGTCCCTATTTTAAGACTTTTAAAGGAACTTTTGATTATTTAAACTATGGTCAGTTATTGCTTTGATAAAACCAAAAAATAATTTTTGAAGATTTTACTTGACAGAGAGACAGCGAGAGAGGGAACACCAGCAGGGGGAGTGGGAGAGGGAGAAGTGCAGGCTTCCTGCTGAGCAGGGAGCCTGATGCGGGCCTCCATCCCATGACCCTGGGATCATGACCTGAGCCGAAGGCAGACGCTTAATGACTTCAGCCACCCAGGCGCCCCAAAAAAGAATTTTAAGAGAGTTGAACTGGACACCTGGGTGGCTCAGTTGGTTAAGTGACTGCCTTCAGCTCAGGTCATGGTCCTGGAGTCCCAGGATGGAGTCCCGCATCAGGCTCCCTGCTCCCCCCTCTCATGCTCTCAAAATCTTTTAAAAAATAAATAAAAGAGTAGAACAGGTGGTACCTGGCTGGCTCAGTACGTAGAGCGTGTGACTTTTGATCTCAGGGTTGTTAAGTTCAAGCTCATTAGGCGTAGAGATTACTTAAAAATAAAACACACACACACATTTAACAAAAATTAAACAAAACTTACCATGGATTACAGCAGCAATGCCCATATTCTTCTGGGGGTCCCAGGCTCAACCGCTGCTTTCCTGGAGCCACTTGGACATCTGAAGCCCCCAGTCAGGGATCTAAGCTGGCTGACCACCCTCCCGGTCCCATCCTTGATGCTCCTCCCGGATCTTCACTCATCCTGGGAATTCCCACGCTGGTAGGTGGGAGGGACAGTCCCGAAGGAAACTGGAACTATTGTCCCTGCCTCTGGAGACTAAGATTATCCCTTCCTTCCTCCCCTCCTTGACCCCAAGCAGGAAGCAGGAGCAGTGGGCAAGAGAGAGCCCTTGCCCTGCCCCAGCCTGACTCTGCTGCTCCAACAGGTGGTCCTGGGCATGGGCCAGACCTCCCCTCATCCAGTCCACCAGGTCCCTGTCCCCGCCAACATATCCACTGCTCCCTAAACCGTCTTACCCAACCCGGAACAACACTGCCCAAGAGGATGCTGACTCGAGGGTGCTGGGTCCCTGGACCAGTGCCCAAGCCCAGGATGCACACACGTTGCCAAGTGAGGTCCCAGCCCCATCTGAAACCCACCCTTAGGACGGTAGTGGGCACATGCCCATCCCAGCTCCTGCCCTCCTAGGTCTTGGAAGTGCTGGACACAGAAAGGAAAGCAGTATGTCATTTAGTAAGAACAACCACAGAACACAGAAGCCCCACATAAGATAGTTTTCAATCAAGCTTTTAATGAAAAGATCATAAAATAACAGTTTCTCATCACTGTACATTAAGACTGCACGCTTCTGAATGGAGAGATCAGTCGTCGGTGAATTGCTTTTCTATGACACTTGAGGGCTGCGTACTTGCAGCTCTGACCTGAATTTATCCAAACTCTCAAAGGAAGTGAGCTCGATGTGATGACTGACAGCGGCGGTGGCCAGTACAGGAGTGCGATCACGGTGTCCCTCCCCCTTCTGGGAAGGGAATAGAGTAGGACGTGATCCCTCTTCCAGTTCTGATTAAACAAAACAGCTATAACCCCATCCCTCCCCCTCCCCCTCGAGGTATTTGCGAATGGGCAGCTGCCCAAACTGGGATCCCCCAAGGGGGGAGGGGGAAAACAAGTGATGGGTGGGATACAGAGAGGCTCCCCTCAGCACCTGGCCCCACGGGGCCCCGCCAAGTGGAGGGGGGGAGCCCTGGGGATCCTCCCTGCCCCAAGTGAGGTCTGTTATGCAGCATTTTTGAGGTCAATAAATTACAGCAATAAATAGCAAGGTGAGGTAGGGGGAGGGGTTCCCGGTAGAAAAATTAAAGTGGTGACTGAAGCTGATGGGGGAGGGGTCCTAGGAGGGGGGTCCTGGGCAGCCTCAATTCCCACAGCGCACATCCACCCCTTGATCTGGAATGTCACACTGAGGCTCTGGTTAGGTCCCTCTCCATCCCATCACTCCTGGCATCGGATTCACAGGTTCAGTAACGTCTGCCCCAATGTGACCACGGGGAAGAGCAAGGGCCTTGGTCCCTTTGAGGGGCACAGCAGGGCTGAGATCCCTTGTCTGTTCTTCAGAGGCCTGGTGCCTCTGCTTTCGTCCCCTAAGCTAGGGGGCGGACGGATGCAGCCACCTCTTCCCTGAGCCCTGCCCTCCTGGCTGCCCAGGCCTCCCCCACTCAGGACGGCTGTGGGGAGGGCGGTAGGGTCTGCCTGCCCAGCCTGCCCAGCCCAGATCGCACTCCTGCACACGGCCCAGTCCAGTGAATACTGACCGGGTGGGGGTGGGGGCACAGCGGGACAGCCCAGCGCCCCCGAGTGGTGACGAACAGGAAGTACACACACGGCTGCGTGAGGTTCCAAAAGTCCGTCAAGGTCCAGATTGTTCATTTCACAGGCTGAGGTGTATGGCTATGCTGCGAGTCTCTGAGTTTCTTATTTGCTTAAAGGTTCGTCTTTTCTTTTTTTTTACCTTTTTTTGCAATCCTGGAGGAGCCCTTGGGGTGGCTCGGTCTGGTGGGAGCGAGCGGTGGCAGAGCTGGCCGCTCACTCTCCCCAAGTCTGAGAAATAAATACATTCATCACTGCACAAACATATTGATACAAAAACAACACTGTTCAGAGTGTTTGCACCGTCTGTGTTGGTAAGGACCAGCCCAGTAAGCCCCCCCACCCACTGCCGGGGGTGGGGGTGTCCCCTGGGGGTGGGGACCCACTGGAGTCAACGGAGCTGTGCAAAGGTCCCGGGGCTTTTTGGCTTGAGAGGGACCCTCACATCAACCCACCCCGAGGGTCGCAGGCAGAGTGGGGGAGATGGGGGGGGCCCTCCATCCCAGGGCCCTAGCCCAGACTCGGGTCCCATGGCCAGAGCCAACGGCCATCCCCTGCTGTGCCAGCTGGCCGGGACCCCCACGGTCCGGCCAGGAGGCCTGGGGGCCGGTCAGCACCGGCCCACGCTCTTTGGTGCCAGCTGGGCTTTGAGAGGCCTGAGGCTGGGGAGGAGGGCTCAGGTGAATCCAGGGGGCTCCGTGCCTGCCCCGGCCGCCCCTCTGCCCGTGAGCTGACTCAGAAGGGCCTCCAGCGTAAGGTGGGGATTCACTGGGACTGGCCTTACAGCTGCTGAGGTCTGAAACTGTAAAAGTTTATGTAAACAATGAGATAAATATATTAGTATCTTTTTTTCTGAGCCCATTGAGGTTCCATACTCATTCAAAATGTGCTTTGGTTTAAAAAATAGGTTTTGTGAATTTGGGTATGAGCTTTTTTTTTTTTTCTTTTTTTTTCTTTTTTTTGTTTGTTTGTTTATCCTCTCTTTCCTACATGACATCTGCTATTTTCTCTGTTTCCTGTTTCTCCGAAACATTCAGGAATTAAGTGACTAAAGCAGAGAACTGTAAGCCGCCCTTGGCCTCCAACGGCCTAATTTCCTTGTGAGGCTCTTAACACATTTCCACGCACACACTCGCAAGCACACACTCCACATGAAATCAAAGGGAAAAGAAAACAAAACCAAGTGTTGTGTTAGTCCCACCCCTCCCCACAAACCCTTAAAATCTTAAATAGGAAACTAGTGTTTTGCTTTCTTGTTAAAATACAGAAAAGGCTCGATACAATACTCAGGTGGGTACAATACTATGTCGCACGAACATCGTTGAGTGAGGGGCCTTTGCGCCCAGTCCCTGAAGTTCTGCAAATGAATCACCTACTCTCACGGGTCACCTCATGAATGCAGCCGCCCACAGCCCAAGAGGCCACACACAGGCTGGGCGCGCGCGTGCGTACAACTCCCGTGCGGTACAGACTTTGTGTCGTGTGGCTTAAGTGCTGACGGAGTGGGGTGGGGTCGGGAGGGCGGAGAGGCCTGGAAAGGACCCTGCCCCCCTCACCTGACTTCCGGGAACACGAGACCCTGGGTCCAGTGTTCCTTTCCCACCCAGAGGGAGTTAAGACCCAACTTGGGGCTCAGGGCGCCTTGAGATGGGCTCAGCCAGGAGCCCTCACTTGCAAAACACGCCCTTCACCATTCGGGTCCCTGAACTCAGGCTGTTTTCAGCTGGAGGGTCTCTGGAGGGGTGAGGGTAGAGGATGACTCTAGAATTTTTTGGTCTGAACTTAAAAGTAGAAAGAAAAAAAAAATACAAAGCATGAAGCAAAATGAAAACAAAGCCGCTGGCCCAGCCCTACAGCGGCCTTGGTCTGGCCTCGCGAGCCTGACCCTTGGCCCAAGGAAGGGTCCTGAGGCTGGAAGAGAAAACCCACGGTGAGGGGCGAGTGGTGGGACTCCAGACAGGGCCAAGACAATTAGTGGCAGCCAGCCTCTTGCCAGAGTGGCCAGGACCGCCCCAAGAAGGTGCCAAAGTAGGGCAGGCCCCCTCCCTGTCCCCCAGGGGGGTATACATCACTTTGGTCAGTGCCTCCCCATGCCTCTGCACTGGCCTGGCAGGGGCTGCTGCTCTCCCAAGCTCCGGCTCTTGCAGGCCCAAGGGTCAGGATGGGGGGGGCTCACTTCCACCTCATCCTGGCCCTGGTGGGGAGCTGCAAGGAGCTGGCCCTGGCGGTGAGGCTCCATGCCCTGATGTCCCATGGGGCTGGGGCTGAAGCACTCACCCACCGCCCCCCCAACCCAGGCCCAGATCAGAAGCACACACGGGCTCCCTGATGCTCAGCAACACTCAGAACACCTGCAGGTGGACACAGTGAGTGGTGCGCTCTGGGGCGCAGAGCCCCTCTCTGAGGGTGCTGGGGGTGGGGGGGGGCCCAGGAGGCTCACTCACACGTGAGTTTTCCTGTGCACACTAACAGGAGGAAACCAAGTGTCACGGCCTCAGCTGCCAGCCACCAACACACCGTTCTCGTGGATTCAAGAGGTAGCAAAAGGTCAGAAGTCTCTCCACCTTGATCGGTAAGGAAGGAAGGAAAGCTCAGTTATCTGTCCACATGCACCGCGCACACTACATACATACATACATACATACACACACACACAAACACACACACACACACACAGAAAATGAAAAAAGAAGAGTACCGACGGCTCTGGCATGGAGTCCAGCCTCCCCCCTCCCCCCCACAAATCCCAGACCTTCCAGTTCAAACATTCACATAAACGTTACACTGGTTTTTCTCTTAATAAAAAAGAAGTACCTCTAAACAAAGAATATTCCTCAGAAACTATAGGAAAATCTCTCTCTCTCCTGAGGCAGCCGAGGTGGGGCTCGGGGCCCAGGGAAGCCTTTGGCCAAGAAGGGCTTCTGGGGCCTGGAGGGGTGGGCGCCCCTCAGCCCACAACCAGGGCGGGGGCAGGAGGGGCAGCTGCCCCTGTACATTCAGTCTGCAGACCCAGGCTCAGCCCCGAGGGGCCGGGAGGAAAATAAACTCTTGTTGGTTTTGGTTTAAAAAACAAAATTCAAAAAGAAAAAAGCAACAGATCAGTAGGAATAACAGCAACATAGGCCCAGAGGGCTCTTTAGCTGTGGAGAGGTAGGCGGTGGGGGCCCCCTGACTGTCTTAGCGCCAGTGAGCAGTGACCCCTGGCTCGAGGAAGGAGGGCTCCGTCCCCTCCCCTCCAGCACCGCTCCCCAAAGAGCCAGGGTGGCCCGCACACAGACAAGCACTCGTGCACGCACACAGACTGCGCCCCTGGCCACGGGGCAGCCCTGCTCCTCCCCAGCGGAGGGAGGCCCCCACTTCCCCCTGCTCTGACCCGGCCTGCGGGAAAGGGGCCAGGTCCCATCGAGACCCCCGTGACCCACTCCCACAGGCCCTGCAGCGGCCCCTCTCAGGAAGCCAGGGGCCAGGGTGGAATCGGGAGGTAGACTGCACACCAGCAATGTGCACTCGGAGCTTGGGCCTCTCGGCTTCCCTCCTCTCGCTTCCCTTGGTACAGACTTGTCCATTAAAGCTCTGGGTGTGGGGGGCGGGGCTGGCTGCAGGTGCCCCCAGGAGCCACCCCCACGGGACCTGGGGGTCCTGGCCCCTCCCGCCCGGCCTCCGTGCTTCTTTCTTCCTTCCTTCGGTTGGCTCCCGAGGGCGAGTCTGCAGAGGGCAGCCTCGGGCCGGGGAGAAGGGTCTTTGGCTTCTAGGAGGGAGAGGTGTGCATGCGCAGGTGGCTGATGAGGTTGCGCTGCTGGGTGAACTTGCCCCCGCAGAGCTGGCACTCGTAGGGCTTCTCGCCCGAGTGCACACGCATGTGCTCGGTGAGGCGGTACTGGCGGGTGAAGCGCATGCCGCACTCGTCGCAGGCGAAGGGCTTGAGGCCCAGGTGGCTCCGCATGTGGCGCGTCATGGTGCCGCGCTGCGTGAACATTTTGCCGCAGATGTTGCAGGGGAAAGGCCGGGTCAGCCAGTGCGTCTTCTCATGCTGCCGCAGCGTGGCCGGGTCCTTGTAGGTCTTCTCGCAGACCGAGCACTTGAAGGGCCGGGGCTCGGCCGTGTAGGCCGCGCTGGGCGCCGACAGGTCCTCGGCCTCCTCCTCGGCGCCCCCGCTGCCCGTCTCGTAGGCACCCTCCTCCTTGATAAACAGCTCCTCCTCCGTGTGTGTCTCCACGTGGGCATTGAGCTGCTCGGAGCTGGGGAAGCCTTTGGCGCAGGGGATGCACACGTACAGGTTGTCCCCATAGGACACGGTCTCGTAGCCCTCCTGCCGGTACACGTAGTGCGTGCCGGCGTGGCCGCTTCCCCCCTCGCTCCCACTCTGCCCGCTGTCCTCACTCCCATCCTTGCCGTTCTCCTCCTCCTCCTTGCAGGGGTACGGGGGCTCCACGTAGGGCCCACTGGGGCCACCCCCCCCAACACTGCTGGCCAGGATGCCATTGGGAACCCTGTCCCCTAGCCCCTCGCCCTCTTCCCCTGGGCAGGGGCCCTTGGGCCCCGCTTCCCTCCGCTCAAAGGGGGACCCCACCCTGGGCTCCTTCTTGCTCCACTCCTTCTTGCGGGCCGAGTGCCGCAGGCTCTTCCGGGGCTGCCCACCGGGCCCCTCCAGCAGGCTCAGGTGGTTGTCCTCGGCCCCCTCCAGGTCCATGGGCTCATTGGGGGTGCCCCCCAGCTCAGCATAAGAGGCACTGTTGGCAACAGGAGGGGCGGAGGCTGAGAGGGGCGAGCCGTGCTGACTGTCACTCAGCTGGGCTGAGTCGTCAGGGGTCAGGGGGGGACCGGGGGTGGCGGGAGGCAGGGGAGGGCTCTTCTTGGACAAGTCCAGGCCCAGCTCCTGCTCGCAGCCCCCGCTGCTCCCATTGGTGCTGCAGCTGCCCAGGCCGGCCTCCCCGCTGGCTGGACAGACGGCCCGGCCCAGGCCATGCACACCCTCCTGGCTGGAGCCTCCAAGGAAGAGCTCGTCATCCGAGCCTTTGGCCTGGGGGAGCTCCTGGGGGGCGTGGGCCCCCTTCCGTCCGTCCACGAGCCCCGGATACCGCGCCTGAATGACGGAGGCTGTGGACAGCCGCTGGCTGCGGGGTGGCCTCCCCATGCCGGTGGCGCCCACCCGACCGGAGCCGAAGGGCTTGCCGGCTCGCTTGAGTTTACGGCGGCAGAGCGCTGCCAACTCGGGCAGCTGGAGGTAGCTGGCGGCAGTGAGGAGAGTGCTGAAGTTGGGCTCGGCCGGCTGGTCGCTGGGCAGCAGCTTGCCCGTGTAGATGAAGTCCAAGATCTGCTGGAACACCGTGGAGCTGACCATGTCCGTGTCCAGGTTGATGAGGTTGTCGTGCAGGACCAGGGACTTGAAGTAGATGCTGCTGGCAGCCAGGACGTTCTTGTGGGCACGGAAGATGGAGTTCTCCACCATGATGATGACATCACACAGGAAGCCCTTCGTCCTCTGCTGGTTCAGCTGCAGCAGGAGCTGCTTGGAGTGGCTGGGCAGCTCCATGTCGGGCCCCATGTCCCCACGCCCCGCCCACGCGTACCACCTGTGGGCAAGAACAGGCGCATGGGCATTAGCCACCTGGGAGCCTCCGGCAAGGGCTCCAGGACAGGGTGGGGCTGTGGTGGTGCTCAGGGAGGCCTCACCAGGCATGGTACCCAGGAAAGGAACTCACACTACCCATGGGGACTCATGCTGCCCGAAAAGTGACAGGGGCACCGGTCCCATTTGCACAGAAGCAGAGGACAATGGTCACGTGGTGCCGAGCGGAGAAAATGGGATGTGACTTTGGCTCCACAGCCCAGGGCACCCTCTCCACACTAAAGAAGTCGGCCACAAGCCCGCAGGAGACTAAAAAATGACGAGCAGGGGACTGTGAGGTGCTGGGAAGCAGCAGGGACTGAGGTGAGCAGAAGCTCCCAGGTGGGCTCACTTCCCACATGGGCAGGCAACTTCCCAGTTTTTAGGACAAGCTAGAAATTGAGATTTTCAGGTTGAATCTCCCAATGCCAAATAAAGGTTCTTTTTCCTTAAATACCACGTGGACCAAATCAAATACGCAGCCTCCACCTGTGACCTCTGCTCTGCCCCGGGTGCCTCTCAAACCCGTGGCTTCCCAATTCAGGTTTGCCAACGTTCAGTCCTGCCTGCAGACACATTGCAGTCCAGCCACAGTCCCTTGCCAGTGCCTGCTCCCAACCCACAAGGGCCTCGCCCCCCGGGAGGGCCCTGAGCACCCCAGCCTGGGTCTCTAGGTGCTGAGCAGAAAAGGGGGCCTGGTCAAGCCCCTGGCACCACCGGGGCCCCGGGAAAAGCAGCCAGCTGGCCCTGCCAGACTGGCACAGACGCTAACTGATGCCATTAATAAACAGAGAGAGGCCTCTGACCTCCACGGGAACCGTGCAGGTGGGCTGTGCAACAGCATGCACATGGGTCTCTGAGAGCAGGGTGCTCTGACCAGGCAGCCACCCCGATGAGCAGCAGGACCTGACGCACAAGGTGTGGCTCCCTGTTCCCTCCGGCCCTTCAGGGAACATGCACCCTCCCACAGGCAACTCTGTGCCATGCAGTTGACAAGGGTACCTTCACATCCTTCGGCTCAGGGCTCAATCTCTGAAAGTGACTACTCTGAGCCTTGCCCCACCTGGGACCCCTCTGCCCAGTCCTGCCTCCCTTGGGGCAGAGTCTGAAGGGATCACGCCCACGTTGCCTTCCTGTAACACAAACACTTCCCGCGCGCCGTTGCCCCAGGCCTGCCCTCATTTGCAAAGACAGAGGAAAACCCTAATAACCGCGCACACCCCAAAGGTGGCCTCGGAACTGTGAACACACATGGGGAGACACGGCCGCAAGCTAGCACTCAGGGCCTAATAGGCAGCAAGCACCCGCTCAGCCAGCACAGCCTTACAAGACCGCTCAGCTGGGGCTCAGAGGCTAGAGCCTGTGTCCCGAGGGAACCTACCCTCTGCCACCCCCTGCCCCTCAGCCAGCCAGGAAGGGACAAAGAGCCCAAGGCACGGTTTCCACACTGGCCGGGACACCCAGCCCCAGGGAAATGCAGTGTCAGCCCCACCAGCACTCAGGATACCTGGTGCTCCTAGGCTGGCAAGAGAGGGCAGGCCAAGGGCAGGAGGTCCCGTCCTCCAAGAGCCTATGAGCCGCAGCAGCCCCTCCTCTGCAGGCTGAGGGCAGTGGGCCCCAGCCTCACCTGCATGCTACCCAGCACTGTGTGCACACAAAGGGCCAGGCTGCGAACTGCAGGGTTGCGTGGGCAGCCCAGGTGGCCCTCCCCCTCGCCTCCCCCCCTCCCCAGCCTACCGGAGTGCCAGGGGCCCAGAAACCATGTGCGCAGCAGCCAGCGGGGGTGGCCTCCTTGAGCGCGCGGCCTCCCTGGGGGTGCATCAATGCCTGGTCACCTGGGGAGGAGAAGATGGACAGGGTCAGCTGGACAGACATCAGCCAAGGGCAAGAAGGAGCGCCAGTAAAGGGGCAGGTACCTGGTGGTCCCGGGGCCCTCACTCCTGGGAAGGTCTGGGGTCTCTCTGGCTGGGGTGCCAGGGGCAGCCACAGTGCCCAGCAGCCATCAGGTCCGGTGGCAGGGAAGGCCACAGGCCTGGAGAGCTCAGCAGGGCTGCACTCTCCTCCCACCCAGAAGATTTAGGGTACTCTTCAGGGCCACCTAGGCCTGTGGGGGCGCTGGTGGCAGGCGGCCTGGGCAACGCCCTTCTCAGGCTGGCCACATTTACATAACAAAAGGTCAAAATTGGAGGCACTAGTGCAATGGGCTATTTATAAGAACCAGTCTCAACCGCTTCTGGCTCTCCTGCCTCCTTCCCTTCCTGATCTGCTCCCGCCACCCCCTCCCTGCCCAGAGGGCCCAGCCCCCTCCTGCCCAGCCCAGTCGGACCACATGGCCTCCCCTCGCAGGACTTTCTGCAGGCCTGGCCTTTCAATACCAGCCCGCCAAAGCCAGCTGCCGCCAGATGTGAAGGTCTCCTTCTGCCCCCACCACCCCCCCTCCCCCAGAGATGCAGGTCCCCAGGGAGGGGGATCCTGAGGTTCTGACTTTTTGCACCCCACTCAGCAAGCCTGGGCTCCCTTGGAATGGAGCCAAGGGTGGGGGCGGAGGCGCACAGCAGCCTGGAGCCCATCCCTGCCTGCCCTTCCCCCACCCCCAGGGCCAGGGCGGCTCAGCAGGTCCCTCAGGAATGTGACCAGACCCGGGGTGCGGGGTGGCTGGGAGGCCTCTGCTCCAGCCAGCCAGCTGTCTCTCTGGCCCCCAGCACAGTCCTCCTCTCATGGGGTGGCCCGGGGGTGTGGGAAAGTGGGGAGGGGGAACGGTTGGTCCAGAATCCCACCCATGGCCCAGATGGCAGGAGAACCAGTTCTGTTGGTCCAGAGGCCTGAGAGCACCTTCGTCTGCATTTAATGAAGGCCCTGGACCCTTTGCGTGTGTAGAGAGTTCAGGCTCTCCTGCCAAGTGACACCAGAGGTGGCCAGCAGGACAGAGTAGAGCTCAGCCTTAGGAAGGGGGGCAGAGACCACCTCAGCGCTGGCGAGAGCAGCCCTGAAAAATGAAGCGGGAGCCACAGCAATGTGTTCGAGCCTACCAGATGCCCACCACACAGCCTGCTCCCCACCAGATCTCAGGGCAACCCAAGCCCTGCTGGGGCACAGCGTCCACACCGTGGCCCCCGATTTAGCACATACCAGACCCCGCAAATAGGGATTACCTGCCCTCGTCAGAGATCAGGCCAACAACTACTGAACACCATGCACAGAGGGGGCAGCAGAACAGAACTCGGGGGCTTCCACAGGTACTCACTGCTCCAGCCCTGCCAGCCACTTCGCCAGCCACTTCGCCAGCCACGGCAAGGCAGAGTGACTGACCAAGGTCTCCGAGGTTGGGTCAGACATGACTCTTCTTGGGCCCAACTTCCCCACAGGGACTCCACAGGACAGGGCTGAGTCGCCTCCCCAGTGCCCTCCACTGGGTGGGGCCACAGCGGGGCTGCCTGCTGGGCGGTAAGAGCCAGCACAATGCCACCCTACGTGCCTCCCACCCCAGGCGGGGCCAGGCAGGCCGCCACCACCGATGTTAACCTCACCACAGGGGAGGGGCGCCCCACTACTGCGGGGCCAGGACCCCCGCAAAGCCTTGCTCTCTTCTTCCCAGCCAACAGGAACAAGCAGACAATCCTCTGCCCTACAGCTCAACACGGGCTGGAGGAGGAGCAGGCACCTATGCTGGAGAGGCTACAGCCCCAGGGGAGGCGGGGTGCCAGGGAAACATGACCGTGGGGGCTGGCCCAGTAAGCTGGCAGCGCAGGCCCCCACCGGGTCCAGGGGCTTGGTGCCCAGCCTTGGCAGAAGCCCACAAGCTGGGATGAAGATACCGCCTGGCACCAGCTCCTGGCACCCAGCAGCCCCCTGGCAGCAGGCCCAGGCAGCGTGCCTATCAGCCCCAAGGATCCACACCCAGCTCAGAACCGTTGCCTGCCGGAGCACTGGCTCCAGGAAGCCCAGGATCTGGGGCAGTGGGATCATCAGGTACTCCTCTGAGGCCAAGACCTAGCCCATCTGGGGGGG